AGGTAATTACAACAACAACAAAAAACAGAAAAAAACCCCACGAAAATAAAATGCTAATTGCAACATCTACTCTCTATACAATTTGCTTTACTTATTTCAAATACACTTAGACTGCGACTGCCATATTTTAAAAATTGTCAAACATTTCATTTCTCTTTTGCATACCATATATGGGTGGGAACTTGTATCCTGTACATGAATATCTTGACATTCTGTTGCATTGAACGCAACAGGAACAGTCACAAACAAAAGAGTAAACAAGCAGAGACATCCTACCTCAACAACATCAAAAATTCAAACCAAACCTTCCCAAAGCGACATTTCGTATTCTCACCATCCAATCCTTTTAACAGTCTCTTTTTTTAAGCCCCTTGCAATGCACATTTAGATGAATAGAGGAACGTCGAAAAGAGGAACGTCGAAAAGCGAAGACGTTCAAAAACTAGTATGCATCTCAAACGCACAAACATTGTATTACGTCGCATTTCTGGGAAGGGGGTGACAGATGAGGTCAGACAGAGCCTGAATGGATAAGAATTTCAAAAGCATCATTTCTTTCACAGGCCTCCTTCCCTGCACCAAGCTGTCATACATTTCTTACGTTCCATGTGTTTACCACGGCGACTTGTTTATTCTTTCCATCGAAAACTTTTCATTTTGGTCCTTTTTCCTGTCTGTTTTTACCCCCCCCTCTCTCTCTCTCTCTCTCTCTCTCTCTCTCTCTCTCTCTCTCTCTCTCTTTCTCACATACACACACACGTACACACACATACACACACACATACACACACATACACAAAAGCACACATTTTGGCTCTCTTTTCCTCTCTCTTTTTGTGTGCCCATGTGCATATGTTCATTTGCACGTACGAGTATATACTTGGATGTATGACGTGTGTGTATGTGCGAGCGTACGTAATACACGCTGTTACTAGATTATTCTATAATTGCTCCGTTATTCAAACCTGTCTCATGCAAATGCTTTTTTCTACACACCTATCACTCACCACCACCACCACCACCACCACCACACCGAGATCACTGACCCCGGTGAGAGCCGAGCTTCTGAAGTGTCCTCATTCGCCTGGGGTCACCGTGACCAAGTACCCTGGGTAGCCTGGTGTGTGACATCAACAACCCCTCTGATCGTGCTTCTCCCCAACCCCGCCCATTAGCCTTCTACCGACACCCCCACTCCACCCCCA